GAGTACCATGCATAATTCTCAAACTTTCATGAGCATCGTACCTGAAGTGATTGAAGCTGCGGGTTAGCGGGTTCGGAGAGAGATTTGGTGATCGAGCATAGATGGAATATGGTGTCTCAGTATCCTCACAATCTGAGAATGGAGAATATGGTGCTGGTGACAACATCATACCGGGCGATAGCAGATCCTTGCTGCACACATCCGAAGCACCATCGTCGAGATCAAAACTGTAAATTAGACAGTTTAAGGTAAGCACTTATTTATTGATTCATTTCATTTTTGAAGGTTTGTTTTATAACTGTGTGTTACACAGAATGGGTAAAGCGGGAGATTTGACGCTGTTCTCGCATCAAAAGAATAACTCGTGAGAAGGTATTGTAGGTTATTGAACCTAACCAAAGCAGTCTGCCCTCTGCTTTTCTTCGATGGTATCATTCTTTCTGTATCCCCATACCTCGCTCGTTTTGTTTTTTGAAAATTCGAATGCTAAATAGACATTTTGCCCCTCGATGACTTTTTGAGATGATAGGTTGTAAAACTGCAGTTCTCGACTATGAAATTTCGGAATATTGTAGTAAAATGTGTTCTGGCCGGTTTTGAAAACTGCGACTTTGTATGCACTAACCTGCTTTTATGATGTTCACGAAAGTTTATCCATGGCGACAAGTTCGCTGATGTAACGCTGATCGATGATCTAGGGCTAGAGCCAAGATCCGATGTCGCATATGTTGACATCGGTGAAAGTTTGCCGTATTCATAACCGGAACTCAGCTAAAACTTTCAATTCAGCGATTGTTTATTCAAGTAGGAAACTTCTTACTAAATTGATTCGATGCATTGCGTCTTCAGTCAAAGGAAAGGGTCGTCGAAGTCGAGGTGACGTTGGCGATGACGGCGCTGAAGGTCCTTGTTCGCAAATCAATGGAGGTGACTGAAACAGTTAATATTTAGTGAAAGACTTTGAAAAGAAATCATTATAAGGTTGTCACTACAAAGACCGGAAAGAATGAAGTTAAAATGACCAGCTACTACGAGCGAGAACACATGAGCAGAACAGGTGGCAGTAGACAAATGCTAGCCGATTTTTTTT